CGGATTTCCCGGATCTTCCAGTCAACCATCCCGTGGTCCTCAAGGTTCATTTTCTGGTCACAACTCCGAATTAATTCTGATAAGACGTCTATGAGCGGTTTTGAAAAAAAAACACGTAGCTCTAGGATCAGTTTCATGAATTGACCACTTTTACGGATGTTCCGGTTCTTCCGGAGGACCAGACTTCTGACTTTCCGGATGCAAAATTATTCCAAAAGGAGGTTAATAACTTTTCAGAAGACACCAGGAAGTTATCTCTTCAAATTACCCTACAATCAATGTTTGTCCCCAATTAGCTCTAATCCCATATGGTACGTGTATTCGTTAATGCCGGTTCCTATTGTGCGGTCCCTTTTAATCGTACTACAGGAATCTTGACTGTAATTTGTATGGAAAAATGTATGGGAAACGGTTCGAAGCTATTCGTTGAAAACCACACATCGATTTGACTTCTGTACAAAATGTTATTATTTTTCATTTATGGCCTTGTGTTCCGCTCATACCTACTGAGGTGCATATAAGTTTGTAGGTATACGCGGTGCACCAGGGCGACAGTAAATCAAAAATAACTTTTTGCACAGCAGCCGAATCGATTTGCGATCTTCAGCGAAGTTCTTCTTTATTGATTTTTTCAATCTAAGGGTTTGGTAAAAAATCTATGATCGTTTGAAAAGCATTTAAACAGTTTAGGACCGTTTCCCGTACATATTTTAAAGCTCTCCCGCAAATCCAGATCGTAACCGTATTCGTTCAAAATTGGAACAGTGGCTGTGGATCCTAATAGTCTTTTTTGATGGAAAATCAGGCTACTGCCAAATTTGAAGGTCTTCAAGATCGCCTTAGGCACTTTTGTTTATTGACAGCGAATAGTTTCAAAATTGGAGGCAGAATAAGATTTTGCTAATGAAGTTCTATCAAATCGTACCTAACCGTAAAAGAACTTACGACTGATTCGATCCACGGTTTCTTTTCCCGTAAGTTATTTATTCCTCTCATCAATCAAACAAGGCACCTGTTGGATATTCAACAGTTTTCACCTAATCCACCGCCATTGACCATCGCTCATCGGATCAACTTGAAGTTTGAAAATCAGCAAAAGCAACGCAAATAAAAAGGCGCAACATACCGAGGTCCGTTTCACTAAACGAACGAACGTTAAAAAAAAAGCGCACACTCGAAGCCCACCGCTGTTTTGTAATAATCTAATTGCCATTTCACGCACAATTTCATAAATCATACACATTGGACATTCAGCCGACTGCTTTCCTCATACCGACTTGCCACTTCCACGAAGGCAGGCGCAAAAGCCGAACGAGCCAAGCGTTATTCGATTTCGATTCCGACACGAATCGTTTAGGGTTTTTACATGGAAATCTACCCGCAAGTCTGACTACCCCCTACCTACCTACCCCAACCGATCAAAATATTTCACTACACACTTCAATCACATGCATTTCCCCTCGGTTGATTCCCTATGGCAGATACTAATTCGAAACGGTTTCCGACATTTTTAGGATTTAAGGAACTGTTCCTCGTTTGGAATGTTCGCTCAAACGTACGGAGTTTTGTATGATGCAAAAAATATATACAGTTGATTTAATTTTCTGCAATCGACCGCCGCCGTTTGTTCGTAGGGGTAACGTCGGTGATGTGGACCATTAAACTCTTGTAAACACGGAACGCTGTTGGTCAAGAAGTACGTCGCTGGTGGTTGATTGCTCTACGATCTGTGACTCCGCGGTTGAAGGTTGCTCGAGAGTTGCCAATGTGCTTACCTGGAAATGGAGGAGAAAGAGAAGGGCAATGCTTGAAAAACCGTTTGCTGTCAGTGTTATTTATGTAAATATTAATTGACGTAATTAGGTTCGATATTGGTTTTGAGATCGATTTCCTGGAAGCATATGCACAGAATGGATTGATGTGATCATTGATCATAGTTTGACGTTCCCAAATGAGCTGTTTTACAGAGAAGTTGTTTCGATGCGTAGTTTTCTAATAAATGATTACAATGCATTAATCGTACCACCGCACGGCCTGTCAACAGCTCCCATTCACTGTCCTTGAAATAATCGGTTCACTGAGCAGCGAACCTATAGATTAAAAATCACATACCGGATTTCCCGTTCAGAACGAACGACTAACCGACATTCGCATAAACATTGGTTCGACTGACTGCATTGCCATTCATCGGCAAATGATACAGCACTCACCTAAGCGGGATACACTTATTCTACACGGTCACTGAGTGGTGGTCAGCTAGAGAGCCCGACTGACGGGTGCGATTTCAACACTAAATTGAGCGCTGCCAGCGTTTGCTTTTTGCAAAAAGGCATTAATACCGGTGTCAATTCGCAGCTTTAAAAACGAGATCGCGTTCTTGACCACCTGGTGCACTTGCATGGCTGTCCGCGGGGCTGGGACTGGGCGATTATCAGCCTAACCATTTGAAATCAAGTGGTGGCTCTACGGTTTTCTATCTGAGAGCAGCTGATGTAAAATCCGGCGCGTGGTTGGGTGAGAGTTAAAGTTCAATAATCAGGTGCTCGTTAAAGACATGTTCATTTTATCCTCAGGGGGGGTTTTGGTATTTTTGTAAACACGTGCCGGCTGAAGCCATTTCAGATTAATTAGCAGTAATAAAAATATCGGTTGCATTCAAAGTGTTTTTGTGTTACTTCATACGCGAAGTTTTCGATTTTCAGAGTTGGTTGGAAATGCTATCTAACATGAAGCTTTAGTGTGATAATTTATTAGCTGGGGAATGATATTATAAGAGAGTAGGTAGATAGTTCCGTTCGAATACGGCAGTATGAAAATTGAATAGAAGTTGAAAATGAGCGAAGGGTCATTAATGCGACAGTACAAAGTCAAACGCACACCTTTTGCCTAATCCGTACGATGTACGCGGAGATTTGAAGTATGTCTTCAAATCTACAGGTAAAAAGTGTGCGCCCGCCTTTGCTCATTACTGTCTGCGGCTGTGGAATAGTTCTAGCGACGTTTCTTCACTACCTAAAGCCCCACGTTGCCGAAAGCATTTCCAGTCGACTTTTCAACTTCTACTCACTATCTATCTACTCTTTTCTAAGATCATTCTCTAGCTAATAAATGATCACACTGAAGCTTCATGTTAGATAGCATTTCCAATCAACTCTGAATATTGATTGGTTAACGGTAATTAGATAATTGAGGGTTGGATGAAAAGTTCAGGTTTTGAAGATTGGTTGTTGGGAAATACATAATCATTACTAATGTTAATAATTAGTGGCGATCGTGCACGGGAACAAATCCAATCTTCGAAATGAGAAAAATGACTAATTATTCCATAAACATAGCGTATTTTCATGTTTTGAAAATGCACCATGAATAATATTCATGATATCATGAGCTATTTTTGTCAGTGTTCACTCAGCAGGCCGCTCTCGATGTGTGATACACGATCGTCTGTTTCCTCGGCAGCAACCATTGTGTGGTTCTCTTCATTGTTCTTCATCAGCAGTTCTTTCGGTCGATGCGTCGTCGACTTTGGAAAGCAACCGTCTCGTGATGAGTGTGTGAGTGCTGACCCCATTTTGCCTCCATTGCTGCAATGGAAGCGCTCTGCCCCCGATGGCGTAATTGCCATACAAGGAAACCACTGAAAGCGGCTCCAGTTCTGATGGAGAAGGCTTTTTGGAATGCGGAAGATAAACTGTTTATTGTTTTGTACCTTTTGACTATAGTTTTAAGATGTATTATGCAATGACCAAGAATCCTCGGCTCTGTAAAGTTAATTCGTTTGAGCCTTATCACATAAATCAATAAACAGCAATGAGCTATTTTTGCGTAGCGCAGTCAAGATTCTAGAAATCATGAATCATCCGAGTTGAAATCATGAGCTAAATTCATGATCAGACTGGATTCGAACCAAAAATCTTGTGATCATCAAACGCTTACTGCTACCACTAGAATATCGGTGCTTGTATAAGATCGAAGACAGAAGGCATATAAGAGATACCTATGTAGTGCGTTTTATGAACACGGTTAGGCAGGTACGTGTTTCGCTTTGTAGTGGTCATGATTCCGCTGCATTATGAAATCATGAATTTCCACCATGGGATGGCAAGTTTTTCATTTCATGACTTTTTACTCATGAAAATGTAATCGGATTTGTTCCCGTGTAGGATTGTGAATCGTAAGGAGATTTCAGGGAGGCTACAGTTTGAAACTACACAAACACCCACCAAAAATGATAAAACTCTTACTTATCCAATAACGGCAACAACTCACGTGATGGCTTGAAACCAGAAAAAGTTATCTTAAAACAATGAAATAGCTTAAAAACAGTTATAATACTTAACACCCTCCACGCAAAAGATACCTATTAATCGACACAAAAAATGACAAACAAACATCAAAATGACTTTTAAAGTACCTCTAGTCGAGGGTTCATTTTTCGTCTACACTTAAAAAAGTTAGCACGTCTGATCGACGTGTTTAAACACTTGATTTTCCATATGCACAATCAAATACCTTTTAAGTGTATTTCACCATGGTTCACTGTGTTCTACACGTAGATTTCTAGTGTTTAAAACTGTGCGAGGTGAATTGTTTGTTCTACAAGGTAAACATCGAAAACGTGAGTTGTGACTTCTTCATTCGAGGAAGTCGCATTCTTCCCCTCTAATGCAGTAGCAAATAAATCTTTTCCTTTTTCTTCTCCTTCTTCTTATTCTTCGCATTTCAAGCTTATTGCTTATCGAATATAAGCTTATAACGTGCTCTCAACTTAGTGTTCTAGATGCACTTCTACAGTTATTAATTGAGAGCTTTCGATTCCTGTACCGTTTTTGCATTAGTATACTTGTGTGGCAAGTTCTCCTCTATATGCCCAGAGAAGCCGAGAAATTTTCCAACCCGAAAAATTCCTATATCGCACCGGGAATCGATCCCAGCCACCTTAAGCATGGAAGCTGTGCCTTTACCGACTAAGCCAAGGGAGGAATATTGAATATTGATAGTAGTAGTAGTAGTAGTAGTAGTAGTAGTAGTAGTAGTAGTAGTAGTAGTAGTAGTAGTAGTAGTAGTAACTACATAGACAATACACAAGCCACACAACATGCAGCGTCACCTACAACATCTTTTACAAGACTGAATCAACCGAACCATGTACAAGGAGAAGCACTCAAAACAGAGCCTCTCTCGTCCAAGCAAGCATGTGTGTCTGAGCGTGAGAGCGCGTTTATTTACATCATACTACACGCTGACTTGATTTCACTCAAGTTTAGAGCAGATCGAGTAGTTCAAATTAGGTTTCAAGTTTTTATTATATTTTGAAATAAATACTGTTATCATTATAATGGAAATGCTTATATTGTATTACAATTATTATTATTATTATTATTATAATTATTATTATTATTATTGATTCAAACTAACCATATCTACCACAGTACTCTTTTCATATACTCTTATCAACAAATATACAAATCCACTAATTTATCAAATTCCAATGATACTACTTCAACATGCAATCATTCAACAGAGCAAACACAAGCTCGCAACTCCTCATAGATTTCTATAATTTTGAAAATTCTCAATCCTTACTCCACAACTAATTATATGAGCTTGCAAGGCTCTCACTTCAGAGTGAAGATTTAAGAGAAAGAAACACAAGTCATCAAATCCATCCATGCTCATATCTACAAATATACAAATCCAATAATCAAATTTCAATAATACCACCTCAAACATATAATCATTAAACTAAGCAAACATAAGCTCGCAACTCCTCATAGATTTGATTCATTTAGACAATTCTCAAACCTATGAGACCAATATGAGCCTCTCAGTTGAGAGTGAAGATTCAAGAGTAAACACTAGTCTTCAGTCAATTCAGTCGATAAAATCATCAAAATATTCTTCAGTTAAACAAGTTCCTACCCCAAATTCCAAATTATCTCATGAGCAAAATCTAAATAATTTAACTAAGCAAACACTAGCTCGCAACTCCTCATAGATTTGATTCATTTAAACAATTATCAACCCTTAATCAGCAACTAATTATATGAGCTTACAAGATTATCAGTTCAGAGTGAAGATTCAAGAGTAAACACAAGTCGTCAAACCCATTTGATAAAATCAACAAAACATCCATCAGTTTAGCAACTTTCTACTCGAAATCCAAAATTACCTGGTCAGCAAAATTGAAATCATTCAACTGAGCAATGACAGTAGTAGCATAACTTTCCATCCTACCGAGGGAAGCTCTTTACTTTCCGCCCATACGTCGGGAGTAGAATAGCTTTTCATTCTTACACCGGAAGCTCTTTACTCTCCGCCCATATTAACAAATCATCAAACATCCTTTCGTTGAGTAAATTTTTACTCAAATTCCAAAATATTCCCTTTCCTTCGTGGTTGTAGCACAAGAACATCAGCCTACCCATGAAGCAGCAAAAACTACGCATAAAACACCAGCTGTTTCCGTGGTGGAAATAACTACCATCGGAACACCGATCTCAGGAATATATCGAAATATATTGATATTGTCTTGCCCCTTGAATACACATTGCTGACATAGCAAGAAAGTTAAATTTCCTAAATTTCACAATATTATCATATTGAATAACCGACACACGTTCATCGACAAAAAATGATTAAATATTACATTTAGGCTATCAATACTACATGTCAGAAGAAAAGGAGCAAAACATCTTCTATTTTTATCGTGGTAGAGACTGCGCATGTAATCCACGTCACTTCCGATCTTTCACTTTCCGAGAGCAAGGAAAACAAAAAATCCGCAAAATCGAAAACTTACCAACTAGGAACACTATGGTCCCCACCGGCTGGGCCAGCCATTGTCGGGAACCAACGCAATTCGCAAAAGCCGGTTCCATCACACACTACCAGGGGTTGAAACTGTTGACGTTTTTTATGTCACTCGCTTCGTTGTCATGCGCGACAGTCTGTTTTTATTCTTATGCTCTACCGTCGTCTCTCTTACACAACACAAACGGTAGAACAACATTCGAGCAAAAAGAAAATTTTCAAATTACTATCATATGACAATGTGTGATTTCGTTCTAATTCCTCAATTAGGTGTAAATTAAACCATTTCTGATCAAAAATGTTATTACTAGGACATCGTTGCTTGATACTTTCAGAATTCACTCAAGCCCACCATCAGCAGCTCTTATTATGAGAAAAACTAAAATACATACATTCGTGACAGTCTTCGGGCGTGTTGTTCAGAATCGGGATGACCACTCCCGTCCATTCTGGAAGGTAGCCAAGGTCTTGAAGACTCATCCTAAACCCGTTCCACCTCTCAGAGTCAAAAATAATGACGATCGGCTCATAATCACCCCTCAGGAGAAAGCAAATGCGATTGGCAACAACATTGCTTCGTCGCATCTGCTTGGCTCCATCATCCAAAGTCCGCTTGAAAATCGGGTTGCAGAATGTGTACAAAACTTGGATGCCTCCCCTTGTGTTGTCTCTCTCAGGAGGTGTCTGTTGGGCCTTTTGCTATACAGCATTTACACTTCTGACATTACTCCCTTGGGCAACGGTTGCGCCATAACCGTCAAGGGAAGGATGCCTCGTGAAATAACAAACAAGCTTCAACGATGCCTTGACGCCTTTGCTGATTATACCAACACGTGGAAAATCAAAATCAATGCCTCCAAAACCCAATCAATAATGTTCCTGCATCGTTAATCTCCCAAACTGAAACCGGCTCCCTCTTGTACTGTAATAATGGATGGCACAAGGGCTGAGTGGTCCACCGAAGTAACATATCTTGCTATGTTATTTGGCGAGAAGTTCCTTTTCCGCTCGCATATAGATAGGGCAGTAGTCATTGTTTAGTTTAGGTTTAGTAGTCTCGGAGGAACCCGGTACATCTGAAAGAGGCCATTGTGATCATTGCTAAGACCAACCATGGATCTTAAAGTAAAATTATAATGTGATTTGGGGTGTCGCATGATGAGTTTTTGATAAATCAATCTTTTACGAATTCCCCAGTGGAATCTGGAATTCACAATTTTGTTCATATCTTCGGAACCATAATTCCGATCGGGGAAAAAAAAAATCAAAAGCAATTCATCTGAAACACATATTCTGGAACTCTTTCCACTGCGCCGTGATAATGATCGACGTCAAGAATGCGTTCAACAGCGCCAGCTGGGAGGCCATCGCCGAAGCACTGCATAGAATGAGGGTCTCTGACAACCTGTGCAGGATCCTGAGGAGTTATGTCTAGAACCGGGGTCTGATCTACGAGACAGACATGAGACAGAGATCGATTAGGATCACAGAGGGAGTTCCACAAGGATCCATCCTTGGTCCAACGCTCTGGAACGGGATATACAACGGCGTGCTAACGCTGAAACTGCCCAAAGGAATAGAGATCGTTGACATTGCGGACGACGTCGTCTTGAAGGAAAACAGGCGAGACACTGGAAGAGGTGGAAGTGTTGACGACCGAGGCGATCGACATGATTGGTAACTGGATGCAAGGAGCGAAGGCAAGGAGCGGAAGAGCTATTGGTAAGTAACTGTGAAGCGGTACAGCGGGCAGAAATAACCGTCAGGGAGCACGCCATAGCCTCGCAGCGTATGTTGAAATACCTGGGAGTGATGATCGATGACCGACTAAACTTTAACATGCCTGTGAGAAGGCTTCGAAGGCCATCAACGCGATAGCTAGAATCATTCCGAACAACGCTGGTCCCAGCAGTAGCAAGAGGCGTCTTCTGGCCAGTGTGTCGTCGTCGATACTGAGGTATGGAGGTCCAACCTGGGTTGCTGCACTGGAAACGAGGCAGAACCAAAGGAAACTACGTAGGTTCCGGCTCGCCATGCCATGCGAGTCGTGAGTGCGTACAAAACCATTTCGTCGGAAGCAGTATGCGTTATCGCCGGAATGATCCCTATCGGCATCACCTTGGTGGAGGACACTGAGTGCACCGCGTAAATAGATGCATTCCCAACTCCTATTAGGTTCGTTACAAGCAGGTATTTCTTACTCAAACATGACTTCGCATATATTTCATGACTACAAACCCCCCACCACCCCCCCCCCCTAGCCCCACATAGTGTCACAGTTAAAGCCCCCTCCGTGTTAATGCAAAACAGGTTAATCTGTTGCAAGATTCCGTTAATAAGTGACATAGCAACAGCACCGCCAGTGATTTCCGGTGTTCAATATAGAGACACTATTCTAAAATACAGACGAAAAGCGCACGTTTTCAAATATTCAAAAAGGAGACCGTGTATTGTTGCAAAATCTCGTCTCAGCCGGAAAATTTACTCCAACTTTTGGAAGAAAGGAATGGAAACCGAGTGAAGCTTCAAGATCCTGCATCGGGCAGTGTTCTAGAAAGAAACGCCGCTCACCTCAAGGAAATCTTCAGCTCCTGTACTATTTCTATTGAAGAAATACCATCGAACTTTGAAGACAATGTCATAAATCCTAATCAACATGTGGAACCATTGCTGGCAGCTCTTTCTTTTGTTTGGTGCGCAGACCGTCATGGCATTCCCAACTCCAATTAGGTTCAATTCGTTTTTGTTGCTCAAACATGACTTCACTTCTATTTCATGACCACCCCCACCATCACACGCAAAACCTCTGCTAATTTAATGTAGTACAATTACAGACATTTCTGAAATTCACAGGCTTTTTCCGCAGACATCTGAAAAAAATCTGGCATCTCTGCTCACCACCCAAGCGATACTCCTCGAGCTGGCTGCTTCGTTAAACACGAGCACGTGTATTCTGACTCTGAGGAATTGCTGTGGACATCATAAGCGATAGTGTGAACATCGTGGGTAAGGAACTTAAAGAGGCAGTAGCGGCGGTGGATCAGAACAGGCTTATGGAGGAATTTGTCACACCAAGAACAACGTGGCGCTTCAAGCCTCCTGCATCGCCGCATATGGGTGGCTGTTGGAAGCGGCTCATTCAATCCGTGAAAAAGGTTCTGTCCCAAATCAAACCGAAAGCTACTTGATCGATGTAGATTTCGGATCGGAAACACTGCAAGGTTGCTGTAGCCAACTCTACTGATTTAAATCACTGAGCCAAAAATCATCGCTCTCTGCTATTAAAATCGCTGGCATTCAATCGGGTTTTCCCTCGATAGAGAAAATCTGTCAGCTGCCTTTTAGTTTATCCTTCGTTCCTTCTACTGCCGGCAGTTCCGGGTCTACCAGCGCAGTCACTTGGTTGGAATAATTTACCCTCGTTCAGCAATCTGTTTGTAGGTGAGGATGCATATTTTATTTCTGTGGTGCTCGCGCGAGTGAATAAATTTTCCCATGCATTCCCAAGTGACCATTTTGGGAAAACCGACCTAGAACTTTGTATGATGAATCCCGTCATGCATCGAGAGAAAGAAACTTGCATTTTTCGCAATTAAATCAATCAAAGTCCTAATCTTGAAGTGTGTTTTCACTAACCTTCCCAACCCAAAATAGCACCATTTTGCAATATTTTTCATTGTGAAAGCTTCCAAGCAATTTTAGCCTATTACCATTATTCACACCATCTGTTCGGCGTGACCAATCATTCGAACCGCGCACACCAACAGTACCTACACGTCGTGATTCACCTGCCTTCACAAGATGACCTACCACAGTGCCGAAATGATTTGAGTTGAGGTACCACACGCAGTCACGACCCACGTTTCAGTGCGAGTCAAACCATTTGCACTCGATTTTCAAATTTAGATCAAACTTCACCTGTCAGTCCAACATTCTGTGCGTGTGTGTTTTTTGGCAATTACTGCACTACCTTCCACAGTGCACAAAAGATATCAAAATTCTATTGTGTCTACTGCGAAAGACCTGTCACTCCGATCCAGCACGGAGGCTTGACAGGTAAATAGTAAGTAATGGTAGGTTAATTCTTGAATTGAATCGATGCCGTGCAATTTTTCCCCATCAATTGCCCGGCGGTTGCGGTTACGCAACTAGACATACGCGCACGAGTCAGTCGCTTTTTTGATCGATTATCGATTTTTATCGTCCGCACTTTGATTTTGCTGCTGCTGCACTGATTATAGCCCATAAACGATTGCATGATAGATGTGGCGCAGAGTGATCCTCCGGCTGCGGCTGGAAATGATCTCTGTTCCTCGTTGCAATCATCATCCTTCCTAGTGACGGCGCACACACACACATAAACACATCGTAGTTGCGGAGTTGGAAAGTTTACTGCACCACCAGCTGCAGATATGCAATTATCGCCAAACGTAAGCGGTACTTTTCTTTTCTTCTTGAGCTCCGGAATGGTCGTCACATACTAACATTAAGCAAAATACATAGCTTGGGAAACTGAGCTCAGGGTGGATTCCGAGATATCAGCGGTGATTGTAGAGTTATGAGCATAACATCAAATCAAACATCGATCGAGGAGGTGCTACTTGTTTGTACATGAGGTAGTTAATGGTATGGATGGGCTTCATAAGCTGATTTCAAAATCGAAGGTAACCCGAGGTGCATTGCACTTGGAGTCGAAATCTAGTTGTTTTATTTGGAGTGTTGGTATTATGAAAAATTGGAAAACTTTTATTGAAAAATAACAGGGCAGTCCCATTCAACTCAGGAAAACAGCGAGATCCTTCAAGAAGATCCTAAAATTAATAACAGTTTAGAGAGGACATTTAGAGAACAAGAAAATGTTGGAAACTTCACAGGAAAAAAACAATCACGATACGACTGCAAAGCTGCGAAGCTCAAAGCTCTTAAGAGCATTTTTTTTTAATTTCAGGGCAAATCCAAAAACATCATCAGAAGAGTAGTGATAACTTCAGAATAGATAAGAGAACTTCAGTGCGGTCAACAAAGATTGCAGGTACTTTGATGAAGTTCTAAGGAATGAAAAGTAATACCGAGGATTTTGAAGAAGTTTCACAGACTGTGGGATAGTAAGGAAACTTCTGTAACATTTCGGGCATTTCAAGGAAGCATCGAAAACATCAAATTAGTTACATCAGCTTCAGGTAAGTTGTAGGCACTTTTAAGAAGTTATTGTAACTTCACAGAGCTTCAGGAAACTCAAGAAAACTTCGAAGAAGTTCAGAAAACATTAGGAAAATTGTGGAGGTTATTAGGGTAGCTCAATGAGCTTAAGGCTGTCACAATAACTTACGTTCAGACTTTCGGGCAAGTCTAAAAACTTTGACCGTTAGTTTCGATGATTTCAAGACAGCACCATGCACGTCAGCAAACTTTGGAGAAACTTTAATAAGTTCACGAAATTTCAGGGAAGTCCACAGAAGTCCTGATCAGTTTTAGAAAACTCTAGATATAGTTTATGAATTTCAAAGACGTACAGAGATTTTCAGGGAAGTTTAAAGATTTTAAGAACCGTTGTTTTTATTTTAGTGCAGTACCAAGAACTTCCGGAGAGTTGCAAGAACTTCAGGATGGCTTTGTCGTCTGATAAAATCGTAATACAAGTCAACCCGAAATTTACAATAACATTGTCTATGATGATAATTTAAAATAGCCCATACCGTGGACCCTCGTAAATCTGAACGACACTTCTTGCATAATAACGGGGTTTATTTTTAATTTGAACTTCAAGTACCTCTACACTGGCAGAGAAGCGAGTTTCTGGTAGCCTTATTTGCAGATTTGTTTTGATCTGCGTTCAAACATCTTATCCATTTGGCCGGTCTTCTGCTCGATTGGAATAACTTTTCCTTTGACTTTGACAGATAATCGATTGTTTCAATTTTGACATGGCATCTGTTTTTAAATACAGCCTCTTTGCATATATGTGCCGCATTTCCTGAATGTCGTATAAAGTCTGGAGCACGCAAAAATTGGTCAATTTCAAATTGGTGTATTTCTGTTAAAAATGCCTAAAAAAAAAACCTGAAATGCTGCATTTGGAAATTGAGTGTATATACAATGGTTGCTTTGATGAGTTTTCACCGTTTGCTCTCCAGTTTTCAAAATGACCTCAAAGCAAGAGGAGCAGCGTGTCAAAATTTTGCTCGCGCAGCAAGAGAATCCGACGTTCTGACGGGCCAAGTTGGCAAAATTGCTGGATGTGGCCAAATCGACCGTGACAAAGGTTTTAAAAGTGTTCGGGGAACGTTGGTCGACCGCCAGGAAGCCTGGAAGCGGCGGCAATCGTAATCCGGACGTGGCAGCGACGAAGAAGAAAGTGGCGGTGAAATATAAGCGGAATCATAACCTCTCCATCCGGGACGTCGCTGGCAAGCTCAATGTTTCCCATACTACTGTGCAGTGGGCCAAGAAACGAGCCGGGTTGTCGATGTTTAAGAAGGTGAAGGTGGCGAACCGAGATTACAAACAAAACACGTCGGCAAAGCAGCGGTCCCGAATGCTGAATACGAATCTGCTCGAATGTGTCGTCATGGACGAGGAAATTTATGTTTTATACCACATCAGGAAAAGGGAAGGTGGTTGAATTTTTCAAAACCATCAAACCATCGAAGTTCCCGAAAAAATATCTCGTCTGGCAAGCATTTTCATTACTACGGGAACCATCAATCAAAAGATCTACGTCCAGGAGTGCCTGGAAAAGCGGCTGCTACCATTCCTAAAGCAACATAATAGACCTGTGCTGTTCTGGCCGGTCTTGGCGAGCTGTTACTATGGGAAAAGGGCAATCGAGTGGTACGATGCGAACAAACGTGGTTGTGGTACCCAAATACCACAACCCTCCCAAAATTCGGCGGCGAATAAGGTCGATGAGACCGCTGTGCAAAATTTAATGGAAGGGTTTAAGCGGAAGGCACGGCAGTTCGGATTTGGCAAACCAAAAGAATAAACGAACATTTTTTTCCTTTAAATATAGGAATTGAACTACCAAAAGAAAAATAAGAAGATTTTTGTGATACGAATTTTGACTAAAAGAAACCATTTTTTTGTCGACCAATTTTTCCGCGTTCCAGTCTTTACCACCACAATAGAATCGCATCAGCCAACTCTACTCGTGTAACCGAAAGAATAATCGTGCTGATCGACCATTGCGTGATTGCAACTACTAGGCCCATTTTGAGCCATCATGCATGGATTAAACTACAATTAACAAGCTACCATCAAGTGCGCTACTTCCCGGGCTGACCGGCTATAATTGATGTCATTATTCTCATCAGTTCGACTCTGAAAATGACGGAACGTGGTCTGCTTTTGTGGTTCCTGTATACGGTACTAAAACACACGCTCGCTTTCAATCCGGATGAATTGCTGGTAAGACTCATTCCACACCCGTGCCCATTTCCTTCGCCAGTGACGCCAGACTTCTTCCCCCAGAAATCCTCCATTACGAAGCACGGATTCCCTGTAGAGCTGCACAAAGTGACCACCGAAGATGGTTACATAGTAACGGTTGCTCGTATTCCCAACCACGGTAAGACACCGCTCCTAATCATGCACGGTATGTTTGGATGCTCGGTAGACTTCACCTGTCAAGGTCCGGAAAAATCTCTTGCCCTTTTGGCGCACAGCGCAGGATTCGATGTCTGGATGGGCAACAGCCGCGGCACAACCTACTCCAAAAAACACGAATCACTAGATTTGAAGTCCCGTGCCTACTGGCGATTTAGTTTCCACGAACTAGGCTTGTACGACCTATCCGCAATGGTGGACTACATCTTAAAGACCACCCTTCGAAGGAAGTTGCAATACATAGGTCACTCGCAGGGTGCGACCCAGTTGTTCGTGCTGAACAGCCTTCGTCCCGAGTACAACAACGTATTCATCAGCGCTCACCTGTCGGCTCCCGTTGCCTTCATACACCATGCAACATCTCCGACATCAATTTTGGCAAGCCGCGTCGATGAGTTGGAAGGTGCCGCTCGACTTACCGGAATATACGAGGTCAACGGAAGAGGAAACAATTCCTACATAGACGCCATCGTAGCTGCGACTCGAGCCGGATTCATACCACCGGATCTGCTTCTTGTCAACGTTTGGTATCTCTTGGGTTACCACGACTCCATCAACCGCACCATGCTGGTCGATCTGCTCAAGTACAGCCCTGCCGGTGGCTCCATCTACCAAATGCTGCACTTCTGTCAGCTGTTTAACGCGAAGAACTTCCAACAGTACGACTTCGGGACGAAAGAGAACCTCCAACGCTACGGAAACGCCCGTCCTCCGACCTATCCGCTGTACAAGGTCACAACCCCGACCTATCTCTACTACAGCGAACATGACAGCATCAATGAACCGGGAGACGTCGACGCCCTGGCCGAGCGACTACCCAACCTGCAGCTCAAGTACAAAATTCCGGTCCGTCGGTGGAATCATCTGGATTTCCTCTACGGATCCAGTGCGCACCGCCTGTATCAGATGATTTTGTCCACTCTGGCGAAGCCGTGATCACCACTTTACGACCTGTCACAAATTTGTTTTCTTTTTCATTTCTTTTGTCGCGGGATTGGGGTTGTAGCAATAACAGCGGCTCTTCACAGGCTGTTATAACAACACAGTTTGTTGGTTTTTCTCTTGCTTCTGGCAAATATGACACCTGATGAAGCGGTGGGCACGTGCACGCGGTGTATCTGTTTTGGAATTGGCCATAAACAGGCATGCGGTTGGAAGAGAGTTTGCCATTACTGAGGGGGGAGACCGGTAATCTTTGCGCGGTTTATGATGATGGTAAAAGGGGTACTTGTTTGTGGCGTCTTCGCAAGAAGAAGAAGGTTTATTGGACAGATTTTGCACCGAGTGGACGAGACCCGTGTAAGTTAAGCGAAAAATGTAAACAACTGCGTTAACGAGTGATTTACGTGGTGAGGATGGACTTGAGCTGGGAAAATTATTATTCACCAAAATAAACGGAAATGGCAACGGACCGATGTCTTTTATTTGTTTTTGTTCAGTACTGGGGGAAATTTGTGCTTCTGTAGCTAGTTGCCATAGCACTCTGGGTCAGTTCGCATATATTATCAGAGATCAGATTTTAACTGCTTTCAAATTTCTTGTTTTAAGTAGGGCTCGAACAAAGCAAATGACTAAACCAAAACCCTTATTAATCCACCTATTGGTGGCAAGTGCCTTGCTTGTGCTCTCTATGTTCAGAATGGTAACTATCTGCTGAAGCTGTCTATAATTATTATAACACAGAACAAGGCAGTAAATAGGTTCATTTCATTTTGGTTCCCATCACAGGGGCATCCGGAAAATTCGTGAATTTTGTTAATGTTATACTCTTGATATCAGTTCCCCAGGGGTACCCAAAAGCATTTCCGCATGAAAGGGAATGTATAAGCAGGAAAATTAGTTTACAAGTTGACTTATTTAGCGGTGCCGGTGGTTTAGTGGTATGAGTGATGACCCCAGCAGGCCTGGGATCGAACCCCAGTCGGCGCCGCCGGGATGTTCTGATCACGCCTTGGTCCCCGGTTCATGAGTAATGGGTCGATAGGTCGGTAGCATTGGTGCTCAGCACGGACAACAAGATCAACGGAAAACAAATCAAGAGAAAAGAAAGTTGGCTTATTTTTTGATATTAAAGGAAGTTAACAGATCAAAGTTTGCAAAAGTTTTGAACAAATTTTCTAATTTTGTATATCTAACTTTCCGTAGATTTTTTAACATCTTACCGAACCATTCAGCAATTTAAAAATAACTGAGCAACTAAAAGCTGGATTAGTATTTGGGACAGTTATACTTTTATGGGAAGATTTGTTCATGAACAAAATGTCAAAGTCGTAACTGCTTTTGAGCAACATTACTTCAAATATTAAATTGTCGAAACTGTTAGCTATCCAACGCTTGATAACACTACCATCAGGTACCCAACCTTGAAGTTGAATGTGAGAAATTAATTTTCAGTAAAAAAGCTTTGAGTAGCTGTCATTCGTTCATCTGTAGTCAATGTACCGTAAACCGCAGGAAAATTTATCACGTAAATATCGAAAAAAATTCTACGAAAGAGGACATTGACGAACAAATGGTATGACAATCAGTAGATAGGAGGACATTCTTTTTACATGATAACTAATCGTATTTGTATGTTTAGTTTATTGTTAGGACACTTTTTGTAATTCTTAATTAAAAATGTTAATATGGGGTAAAATTCAAATGCATTTATAACAAATCATCTCTATAAATTTGGCCTTTCTGAATCAGAAACAGATGCTTAAATCCTTGTGCAAAGTGTATTTGCAGCAAAAATGCCTTAAATTATTTTTGAAAAAAAACAACATTGAATTCATGATACTCGACGCATTTTACCGTTATTTATATATCTGGATTCAACGGCACTTATTTTATTAAAAAAATCCACTTGCAAGCTTATGATAACAACCACTGCAACTCTACGAAGGTTTATTTGAATAATTATATTTTATGCTATTGAACATCAGTTAAATAAAATTTGAAAATTATGTAGCAAAAGTTTCGGCAGAAGTTAGCCAAAGTCATTCTAATCCACAAGCCTGGCAAAGACCCTACCAATGCCAGAAACTATCTCCCAATCAGCCTCTTGTCCTCCATGTCGAAGCTATTCGAAAAGTTGAAACTCAGCCGTCTGCTGGTGTTTAAAGGGTGTCCCACATCAAATTGCATCACGGAAAAAACGCTGTAGAAAATTACTCATTGCGTATTTTCTCTTGAAAATTTGGGTAGAAGTGCTTTAGAGTGTATTGTTTACACTTTTTTTTATCACTGTCAGTTTTTCGAAAGTTGAAAAAAATGGCGTTACCCAAAAAGCAACGTCGCGAATTCATTTTGAGCAAGCACCTGGAAAATCCTCAACTCTCTCATCAGGACATTGGAAAACAACTCGGAATCGTGCAGTCAACGGTGAGTCGTGAGATTAAACGTTACTACGAAACTCTGACTAAATGGATGTTCCACTAGTGATCAGGATTTCAAGCGTCTTGTGAAAGCGTTTAAGCGGAATCCCAATGGTTCGGTGTGGCCAAAAAGTTGAATCTGTCCAAGTCTTTCGTTCAGAGAGCCAAGGACCGGGAGGAACTGCATACGTACAAAGTGCAGAAGGCTCCAAATCGTGACGAACGGCGAAATACGGTGGCAAAGTCACGGGCCCGGAAACTGTACACCCAGATGCTATCGAAGCTTCATTGTTTCATCATGGATGATGAGACTTACGTCAAGGCGGACTTCCGGCAGCTTCCGGGGCTACTATTCTTCACCGCCCAGCACAAGTTTAATGTTCCCGAGGAAGTAAGGAAACAGAAACTTCAAAGTTTTCCAAGAAATACATGATTTGGCAAGCGATCTGCTCATGTGACAAACGGAGTGCGCCGTTCGTGACTACCGGGAATGTAAACGGGGAGATCTATATCAAGGAGTGTCTACAGAAGCGTCTGCTTCCTCTGTTGAAGCAACACGAGGGCCCTACGATCTTCTGGCCGGATCTAGTCTCGTGCCACTATTCTTATGTTTGATGATTGCTATAATTTAGCACATTAAACAGACTCTGCTTTAAATATTGATTCAATTTAGAGAGGCTCTACTGTCTGCTATGTCATAATCGATTGTTGATGTATTCATTGTCGCTGGGAATATTTCACTTCAATACCTAATCAATTCTCCAACTTGCTGCTATAACAAAGCAAATTTTCGAAAAGAGGATCGACAAAATGGTAAGTTTTGCAGATTTCATCTAGTAAGAGAAAAGATTTTCATTCGTTGTTTGTATCAGGTTAAAATGTCAAAAGTTTGGAAGCATTTTACCAAACATTTGGCAGACAAGGCATTGTGTTCTCGTTGTTCGAAAGTGCTGGAATACAAGGGTTTCAGTACATCCGGACTGACTCGAAATCTCGAATCAGCTCATAAAACGAGCTTGAAACGACCATCAGAATCAGCAGTGCTCTTCAAAAGGATTGAAAACAGCAAAACAATCAAATTTTTCAGGCTGCTTGAAACGCAAAGAATAACCTGAGATAGTTGCGAAGCTCGCTGCTCTTGATGAATTCTCGATCGCTGGAATCGAGAAAAGTACTTTCATCCGCCAATCGCTTCAGAACATAGGATTATCTTTGCCCACTAGAAGTACACCGTACACCACATCGGGGGTACGGCGCCAACTGGGATTGATCCCAGGCCTGCTAGGGTGAGAGGTAATGACGCTTACCACTACAATTTGAGCGAGGTTATCTCTGTTTATACTTTTTAGTATGACGCGCTTGACATAGATGGCCCACAGCGACTCACGAAGATCTACTGATACCGATCAATAGTGGTGCGGCTTCTTCCTCCTTCTATGGATGCTCATGCGGGCTGCAGTTCGTTGTGTACTGGAGAACAATGTTCAACGCCACGCGCCGAAAGCACTGCCGCACGGTGATTTGAACTGAATCCGATCAGCGATTGAGGGCAGCCTTGATAGCTACTTGCCTTCGGGGAGCCTTTTGTTGTGTACTGGAGAACACCACCACCTACCACGCGGAGAATGAATAAACGCCGTTTGGTGAGACCGGATAGAATTCAATTTAGAAATCTGTTTTGGGGAAATCGCTTTTCGCAGGCAATGAGTGATAATTTTAAGTATCGTAGCAACAGTTTCACATTCGTGCAATTTTCAATAGTGGCATTTTGAAAAATGATAAAGTCTTAACTTTAGCAGATACGTAGAAATATTTCTGATCGATTGGTGATAAAATTATTGGAATTGATCCAGGGGCAGCTGTGTTATTAACGTTCAAAATCTCCCATAATTTTGTTACATGTTCCATTTTCGGTATTCTCAAAGTGTACCCCCATATAGAAATCACAGACGTAGTCCTACGTCAAAAACAGGAGATGTCTGAATTTTAACTTACATTGTGCAGATGGAACGACATTCAATCTTGGATTGGCTCGAATAGAGGGTCCTTGTACTGCTGAACATATGGTTGATTTGATTCAGGAGAAATTGGCAGAATTCGATTTGACCAGCGCAGATGTCATTGGGTCAACCACAGGTGATGCGAAGGTTATGCTGTCGAATCTGTGTAACGTAAATTTGCCCGGGCTGCGCTACGAAGTCTACATTGGCGTGACACAACCTACCGCCTTATGAGCATCGTTGTGCATTGCTGAGTATCGAACCGCTGGCAAATTGTCGTAAGATGGATCAAGCTGTATTTGGAGCTAAAATATTTCGCGCAGAGATATTTCAGCCATACTGGATCGTATGAGGATTTATGCCCCAGAGCGAGTGTTGCGGTCACGGCAAATAATTCAACCAACTCCGAGGAATACTTTATATGGCTTCAATGATTCGGTGAACTCTATAAGCAGATGGTTTTAGGAAGGGTATCATGTTTTTGATTTTTAATATTTCTACAAACACTTTTAAACAACGTTAACGATCCCTGCATACACACTTATCCAGTCAGTAATTTTTACCGTGTTTTTGAATTGCGGAACTCTTCGGTTAAAATTTATAAAATCTGTGAAAAATTCAAAATTGAGAAAATGTGTTACGAAAATTGACAGACCTACTTCTGTTAACCCCGTGTAATGATGAAAAATAAAAGTTGTCGATTTTATCCAATCTTTACGAATAACAGTCATTTGAATTTTAACCGAGTTTTTCAGTAATTCTAAAATTCAGTAAAAAATACTGACTCCTGTAAAAAATCTAAGTGTGTATATTTAATTCAATAAATAAATAAGAATTCCAATCAATGAACTCTAAAAGAAACCTGCACAGAAGTTTCCAATTGAAATTTTTCCAGTTTTCGTGTAACTGTGGTCGAAACCGGCTGTGTCTCTCAGTGCTTATCACGCAATCATCCATACAGTAGATAGCCGCTGCTGTTGAAATGGCGATCACGATTGGAGTTGACTTTTATAATGGAAGTGTGAAGCCAACCCTCGAAAACATGGCTAGCTTTATGAAGACACTGGATGCGAATCTCGTTAAAATGGAAGCATCTTTCCAGATTGCGTGGGTGAAAGCAACCTTCATCAAGTTCAAAACGGAAAAATCAAGGCAGTATGCTTTGCTGCCTAACCCGGAGCAATTAATTTCCGTTATACTAATTTAAAGGCAGTGCAGGTAAGCATGCCCAGATAACCAGAATGCACGTACATTCAAAGTCGTTTTCGTGATATACAAACATATATACAAACAAATAAGTCGTATAGAATGCAAAGAAATGGTTTATACGTACAAAAGTTGAGGCCATAAAAGTGCATATTTTCGTTTAATTTTAAACGAATTGATGTTAAATCGATTACGATATACGATTTAATCTGCAATAACAAATTCATTTTGAAAAGTGTTACGATGTAATAAGATTTAATTTGTGATACAGTACGACGGAAAAATGAGTCATCGCATATAAGTCGAAAATTTGCATTCTATACGATTTAACATAAACATAATGCGAGGTATGCCATTCTTATATGCGATTTTGACTTAAACTGTAGCAATTTACGATACTGTCTGTACATTGTTATACGACTTCTGGTTGTCTGGGTGTTGCCTATAGGGGGCAACTTCAATACGTTTGGGTAGAGAGTTCCAGATCGCGATCTAGCGTTGGTGCTGGGTAAATACGGAAAGGTTAAGTTTATCATCAGGGAGAGGTTTCTTGCAGAGATGGGCCTTGACATGCACACATGAAGAAGGAAATTCCATTGACTCTTCATTTCCTGAATCGGAAAGGGAAAATTTTCTACGAAGAGAATTTCTGCCCCCAGTGGAACGTCAGGAAGCAACCGGAAAGGGCAAGCAGTTCGTACGCCGGTGTGATGTACCGTTGAACAACAGCGATAATGTAACGGAGGAGAAGGTCGAGGTGCTTGAAAGAGAAACATTGGAAATTTACTATGACTGCCTCCGTCTGTATAAACAAAGAAAGATTGAATTGAAGAAGTTCACGAGAACAGATATACGTATATAAAGCACAGGATCACTCACAAATCAGGAAACATCAGAAGAACTCATCACGGCCCTTTACGAGACTGCTATGAAATATTTTTTTTTGATAGCATGTTTTGTACCTAATTATTATTGTAGACTTAAGACTCCCTTAAAATCTGATTAAGACAAATAAGCCTTAAGCAAACTGAAAAAAAATCTGAGTAAAACTCCTAAAATAAACCTCAAAAAGCAGCCTAAAAAAGTCACAAGAAGAAGCCTCCAAAATAAACTCTTAAAAGATGCTTCAGAAAAGAACCTCTAAAATCTATAAAATTTTCACAGTATTTATAGGAAAATAATGCTAACTTGTGTAGTTGCAGTTGCAGTTTCAATCATAGCTTAACAACCCTGTTTTCCGTTTTATTTAAGTCCGATTTAAGTCTTGTTGTTGATAGCATTTATTATCATGTCGAAACTTCTGGACCAAACACACGGTTAATGAGAACGACTCAAATTTGAGTCTAGTTTACTCATAATCGCCAAAACAGCAGGAATTCAGCGATGAGTAAATTGAGAGATGGATAGTGGAGAACCTAAAAAATCTGCCGGAAAATGTAGAAATTGACGAAAGTCTAGGAGCAGTAACAATAGACTGAGTGAACCTGGAAAAACCTGGAAAATATGAGGCAAATTTACTCACCGCTGAGTTCCTACACTCAAGCTTGCAAATGCTCATGACAGCTAAAATGGTATTTTTCGGATTTATGAAGCTATGAGATATTTCAATGATAATTCAAGATAGGTAAAGTGTGTATATGGCACATAAAACCTGTCAATTTAGCTTTCAGAGGGTCACAATAGCGATTAGCTGTAACGATGAGCAACGCGATGTGCGAGCAATCAGCGATCATAAAATCGCTACTTGTGACCTTCTGAAAGCAATATTGACAAACTTTATATGTCATATACAAACTTTACCACCTCTTCTTGCTTCTTACAAACAAAAATTATCATTTTAGTATCCCATAGTTTCATAATTACGAAAACTAGAATTTTAGCTGTAATGAGCAATTGCAAGCCTGCCTGCACTTTTGGCGATTATAAGTAAATTAAACTCAAATTTTGGTCGATCTCATTCGCCGTGTACAATTCAGTCGAATATTTGTGCCCTTAAAAATTAGAAGTGATAGTGCAAGTCTGCCCAGACGACCATTTGTGAACTATGCGAAGCTTCACCTAAACTCTGTTTTATTTTCATTTACTTTTTCAAGAAATAGAACGATTAAATATGGCGCACCGATTTGTTAAGAATGCACCCTAGGTGATACAGATAACATCCTCTCCAGATTCACTCATATTCCGTGGCCAGCTTCAGAACCACTTGATGTGCCTCGCTCCCATGGGACCCGAAAATGAAATCTATATGATTCCACTTCAAATCCGCAAGCCTGTGCTTCAGCACCAGGTTCGGTAGCTTCCCTGCGAGCAGATCCAAATCGCTGATCGCCAAAAACGGATCATTCATCCCATAGTACAGAGCCACCGGTGCCGTGATTTTTTCCAGTGCATAATCCGGTGGCCCAACCTCTCCGTACCGTTTCAGATTCTCCTGCTCTCCGTAGTCATACTGACAGAACCGTTCCGATTTCATCGTCTGCAGAAAGTGCAATCCCTGCCGAAGCGATCCTCCCGCAGGAAATACTGTCAAGACCGCCTCCAAACTGGTTCCATTGAATGTTTCCCGATGATCCCCCACTAACAGGCCCATTGCCAGCATCAGCATGTCATGCGTGATGCAACCCCCATCGATGGCCATCTGAACGTACTCCATCAGATTTCTGTTGGTTCTGCTGCCAATTTCGTACATCCGAATCTGTTTCATAAACTGAGTCAGCATTAGAACTTCGTCGTAAAAATAGCTCAACGGTGTCGTATTCCGGGACCAAAACGCAACCGGTGAAGACAAGTGCGCACTGCCGATCTTTCGGTTGTACTCCGGACGCATCGATGCCATAACCAGAAAGTTAGTCCCTCCCTGCGAGTGTCCAACGTAGTGAACCTTGCTTCTTCCGGTGACGTTCAGCACGTAGTCAATCATGGTAGGAATGTCCTGGGTTGCCACTTCGTGGAAGCTAAAGTCCCAAAACTCCATCTCCGATGGGTGCAGGGATCGATGCGATCGGGAAAAGGTGTTTCCTCGGCCATTTGCTAACCATACGTCGAAACCGCTGTCGAAGGCTTCGAAGGCAAGCGAATTCTTTGGTCCCAATACGGTGAAATCGGTGGATGAACTCAGGAAGGAGTGCATCAAAAAGAGGATCGGCTTTCCCGGCTTGGGTACTCGGGCCATGGTAAGATGGTAACCATCGGAGCTGACCGGATGCAGCTCCACCGGGTAGTTGTGTTTGGCGATGGTTGATTTCTGGAATTGAGGTTGGCGTTTTCTGATAACGGGTTTGGTGTGTGGGGTGAATATTGAACTTACAAGAAAGTCATTGGGATCCAATGCGTGGACGAGATACTCTCCTAACAACACCAGAAGGAAGCGGCACAACCAGTTGGACATGCTGCTGACGAGAATTTTAACCGACTGCATGATGCTCGATAGGTTAAATAGGGTAAATGATTTCTGCTTCGGTGGATTCAAGCGTTAATTACGATCTGATGTGGAATCTAATCACAGCTAGAATGATTAACCCTGCTTAGTGGTTAATTACTTGCACGCACGGTTACACTATTGTTGATTTTTTGAAGTTTATTTTCGATTTTTGCATTGGACAAGAGAAGAGCTACTCCGAACAGTTCAGTTATGATCACTTTATTGAGCAGCTACACAATCGACTTTGTACCTATCTTGCAATAATCTGAAAGGTTGCTGTGTCTCACGAATGTCACAATGGTCCAGGAATGTAATCTAGCGATTTCTCCTAATCGAGTTATTTTAGTGCCGGTACTAAGGTTTTATTCAAAATGGATCATTTTAATAATTCACTCTGGAGGGTTGGTCTCTTCCACAAAGTGGTTTGTTAGCGAAAAAAAAACTCTTTCGAAGACGTCAAAATTACAGCGGCCTTGGATTTCAAGATATTGATATTTTTAGTTCGAAAGGTAAATATATCGGTTATTTACACCATACTTTGTTCTCTTACATGAAATGTAGTAGTTTTTATATTTTTTGCAAAATAGCTACTTCGAAAAAAACTTGAATCTTTGCCGAAGATACCAGCCTGTTTTGACGTTTAATTTTAAATACATTGAACGAGAATCAATACACTCTTATAAAAATCATATCCACGATCCCAAGTAGCATTTCAAGTTTTATAGTGGTTTAAAGAATGCTACAAGTCTAAATCATGGTCTACAGAACCTTCATAAAACAAAAATTGTTACTTGGGATGTCACATTACAGCGCCCCCATGAATTTTCAGGGCTGAAGGCTTTCTATGTTGAATGTGTGTAGAAGAAATTTTAGGTCCTTGGAGCTTTTGATCCGTGACAGTTTTGTGAAATTCAAGTTCATTTCAGAACTGATGTAATTTTTGTATGAACTAGTGAACAGCGTTGAAGGGAACGTAGTAGGCCATTGTATGACTCTGTGTATTGCTCAGAGTAATTTCAAGGACCATCATGTGTCCAACAGCTGGACCTTCAACAAAATCAGTGCGAAACTGAATTTTTTGTCAGTGCGAACCTCAACCTGAGCTGAGATTAAAAACCAAATGAGCAAACTGACGTTTGTCAGAAAACAACCAGATCCAATCTTGAAACCCGATCCAGGTTAGAACTGAATAATAAACGAATTTTAGCGAAGATTTTTTTTAATTCACTGCGTTTCCTTTGAAGTCCGTTAGTAACGATTTAAAGTTTTCTTTGTTGATGGATACCAGGCCTGAACATACTCATTACAGCTAAAATACTACTTTTCGAAATTATGAAACTATGAGGAATTATTATAATAATATGTATATGTAAGATGCAAGTAGAGGAGATAAAGTTAGTGTCTGACACATGAAATCTGCCAATTTTGCGTCCAGAGTGTCACAATTAGCGATTAACGAATAGTATTGAGTATTGATAAATAAATTGACTGATTTTATGTATCATACACAAACTTACCCTCCTCTTCTTGCATCGTACATATAAAAATTATTGTTATTATATATCATAGTTTCATAATTTCGAAAAGTAGTATTTTAGCTGTAATGAGTATGTTCAGGCTTGATGGATACCAATGGTTGCTTTGATTGTTGAAACCGCAAGCGAAGAAAATGTGTATTTATAATGGACCGTGCTATATTGTGTAAGCATTAGGATGGGTCATCATGATCATTTTTTTCAGAACAATGTTTTTTTTGGTTCCATTTGGGGTCCCAAACAACTGTGCAAAATTTGGGGATGATTGGTTGTTACCTGTTTTTCCGCATTGCCTTTGAAATTTATATGGAAATTAGTATAGGAAAACCTACTTTTTTGCATTTTTATTACTAGGGAACAAAATTTTGCTCAAGGATGTATTGTGCTAGAATGCCCCTAAACAAAGTTATAGCTGTTCAAAGATTAATGTTTCGAATTAAATGCCAAAAATCCCTTTCTGCCAATTAAAGTCAGAATCCAAACTGAAATAATTATGAAGTTAATTATTTTATCGGTTTGGTATGTTCAGATGAAATATTCAAAAACATTAGATCTATCTCATATGCGTAGTCGGATGGGAGATTGGTGGGGGGGGGGGGTCATTCATATCAATAGAAGTAATGTTTCAAACTGAAATAACTTCGGAGTTTCTTATCTTATCCATTTGGTACGTTCAGATGAATTATTCAAAAACAATTTTTCAATCTCATAGGCATATTCAGAGATGAAGGGGGGCTAACTATACCCCGCCCCTCACTTTCATTATCTTCCCTACTATTTTGGTGCAATATACAATTTCAGATATATTCAAAAATGTTATTGGATTGTAATGATTATATTTCATTTTAATATATTCTACGATTTCTCAGGGTACTCTTTTCGATGCTGTTCTATCCTTTTAAGCAAATATTGCTGTTGAACTAGGTCTCGGGTGGATTTCTTGATAAGTCAGAAATTAGCTTCCCCCCTCATTCAGCCATATCGTTGACAACCATCAAGGAAGCAACTCGTTGTATCGCACTGAAATTATCTGTATCATTACTCCACTCGTTTGCCGGTTTTTGCATCAAGCCAGTCGAAATTTCGAAAAGGAATCAGCACTGTTAGAAGTGACGTTTGGCTTGGGAGCCCAACTGAAACATAGCTCACTTAAAGTTAACCCAACAAGCGAAGTCCGACTGTACCTGTGTCTGGGACGAAACTGGTGAAGACAGTTTTCGTTTTCTCTTGTTTTTGGATCTTGACGTACAACTACTTCTGTGTTTTCTATATGCGGGTGGCCCAAATGGCAGTTTAATATTTCAAATAAAAGCTTTGAATGGAAATGTTAAATTTTCCAGCTGCTGATAATTCAAACAACAGCTCCTCACTAACAAATGAACGGACAAGTGAATATTAAATATTTACGCTACAACAATTTTCGTTTTAAAAACTGCATACAGTAAGCCCTTCCCCCCCTCCCTCGCTCTCTAACAACGCTTATGAGATTGAGCAAATGTTTTTGAATAATTCATACTGAACATACCAAATCGATAAGATAAGAAACTCCGAAGTTATTTCAGTTTGAAACTATTGATATGAGTGAGGGGGACGGGGTATATTATTAAACCCCACCCCCCCTCTCCAACTACACATATAAGATAGAGCAATTGTTTTTGAATAATTCATCTGAACATAGGCCTACTAAATCGGTAAGATAAGAAACTCCGATATTATTTCAGTTTGGAATCTGACTCCCATCGGTACTACGGCAGTGTTGGCAGCAAAAGGGATTTTTAGTGTTTAATTCAAACCATAAATATTTGAATAGTTATAATTTTTTTTATATACATTCTAGAACCGTACTTCCTTTGGCAAAGTTGTTAGCCACTTCCTGGACTATATATTTGACATACTTAGTTGTACGGCTCATGCAAAATTGTAATCTCTAAGGATACAAATGCAAAAAAGTTGGTTTTCCCATACTAATTTCCATAAAATTTCAAACGCAATGCGGAAAGCCGAGTTACAACCAATCGTCTCCAAATTTTGCACAGTTGTTTGGAATTCCAAATGTAACCAAAAAAGGGTTGTTCTCGATTGGTGAGGTAAAGTTTGCGTTTTTCCATACAACGATGACCCATTCTAGTAAGCATTAAAGAGGGATGGGGTGCTTGTAATTTTCTAACGATATCTTTACTAGGAAGGGAAATATCTTATGTAAGAATGAAGAAATCAAATGTAGAATGTTGTAGGATATTAATAAGGGTGGAGGAGCAATTGGTTTGATTTTATAAAGTTTTACATTGGGAGAGGGCGAGTTGAAAAATCCCGAAAAACTGTTAATGTTATTGTATGACTCTTGAATTTGATGCTTGTCATCTTTTTTTCTGAAATAATCTTGAACTGTGGTAAAGCAAGTAAATATTGTATTGTGTTTACCCTAGAGATATATAATCACTTGTTGAACAGTTCAACGTTTGATTACTCAGCAATAACACCTCTAACCACAATTCCAATATTTAGAGGGGCTTGCTTTATGTCGTTGAGCAACTTCCGGCAACCACATGAGCTGCTGACAACCATCCGCCAGCGTGACGAATTCTGCCTCCGTCGAGGACAGGGCGACACACGACTGCTTTCGTGTTCCCCAGTCGACGAGACCACCGCCGAACTTCAGGAGGAACCCGGAATGTGATTTCCTATCACCTTCGTCACCAGATCCGGAACCCAGGTGCAAACGATGATTCTTCGTGGCCTTGAGGTAGCGGAGAACCCTCTTTGCTTCGGTCCAATCTCGGTTTTCTTCCAAGCAGGGATACGGCCACGCAGATATCCGGGCGTGTCTTCACCACGACATAGAGCAAACTTCCTACCAAACTGTGGAACGAAGCGTTTGTAGGTAGTTCGGTCTCCTCCTTTTGCTTGAGGTACGCTGGTAGAACGCACGTATCCACTTACTGCTGTACTCGCCGCCCTGATCGGCTTTTGACCAAAACAATGTCTTGGTGTAGGCAACGTACTCCTCGATTTTTGTGGCGACTTCGGACTTCTCTTTCAATAGGTAGAGGACGCAAAATTGGCTGTGGTCGTCGATCATGGTCATAAAGTACCTGTAACCGCCGACCGATGGCATCTCAACCGAGCCGAAGACGTCCGTGTGCACCAGGTCCCTAGGTGCTTTCGATCTGGAATGAGATTCACTTGGAAAAGGGGTGCGTGGCGTCTTAACCTGCAAGCAGCATTCATACTTTTCTTCGATGCTGCACCGGCGGAGGTCGATTGCTTGCGGATCCCGGTAGCCAAACCGGCGATGCCAAACATGCTGGCAGTCCTTGTTATGGTGGCCGCTTGTCACCATTACGACGTCTTCCGGTTGCTTTATTTGGTATAGCCCCTGCTTCAAACGCGTCACGGCGATGGTGGCGTCTCTACGAAAAATCCGGCAGCTGGTCGCGTCGAAGACAACTGTAGCTTGCTTTTGAGTTTTGAACGAGAGCCGGGACGGAAAGCAGGTTCATCGAGAGGGTGGGGGCGTAGAACGCAAAGCTGATGTCCATTTCACGACGATGCCCATGCTCGTCGGCGCACTCGACGACGCAGCAACCTTCACCGCGCATTCCGTAGATACCCATATTGCCTGGGTTTAGATGCATATTCCCTATCCAGAGGCCGCCATATTGGATTTTGGTCCTCCATCTTGGATTCCAAAATGGCGGCGGATGTCAATTTTCCACTTCCACTCATCGAGCCCATTCCGTAGATACCCATATTGCATGGGTTTAGATGAATATTCCCTGTCCGGGGCGGCCATATTGGATTTTGCTTCGCCATCTTGAATTCGAAAATGGCGGTGGATGTAGTATTTTTACTTTGACTGTTATTCAAATCTATTGATTTTCCGTTTGGTTTCTGTGACCGCAAAATCAGTTAAGGTTAAAATCAGCCTTGATTTTTTGCTGTGTAATTTTGCTACTCACAAGATCAGCTAAGATAAAATCCACCGTGATTTTCTGTTTGTGCTTTTGCTGATCTCAAGATCAGCAGTGATTTTCGACCGCGCCTGATTTTGGATTTTCTTGATTTTTTCCATTACTGGTGACAACTATGGAATGTTCTTTATTTAGTTTTAGATTCGTAGCAGAGTGATAGTGATAGGATTACTGGGATAAATGAAATAAAATATAAATGTTGCATTCAAAGAATTTGTGTGGTTCAAATTGACAACGGTGCCACACGGTTGTGTAGCCCGTCAAAAACTTCCAAACTTCTGTCCACCAACCATTAGGTATTGATCCATTGAACAACTTCACCCAAGACAGCAACATTCTAGATGGCAAGGATTTCAAATTATAACGTAAACTAGGGAATCACAAATTCAAGCACACTAGCGCCGCGTAGTGAGAAAATTCTGAACTTATGTCCACTAAACATCTATTAAACAACTTTTCCTAAGACAGCAACTTCCTAGATGGCAAGGGTTTCAAGATATGGCATAAACAAGGAAATCACTAATACATGCACACTAGACTGATGCAAAATTTGACTTTTTCGCTCCACAGTGCTTAAATGGTTTCAAATTGGGTCCTCATTAGCCTCCCAAAGTTACAACTCATTTGGTTAGAAACAGATTTCGCACTTGTGCCATTTGAAGTTTACATGTAAATTACTATGGGAAATCTCAACTTTCTGTTCATTGCCTTCTAGTCTTTTTTCCATATTGAGCTACGAAACAGTTTGATAGCCATTCTTATAAAAAAAATTCTCAGCTACAACTTTGCTGAAGATCGTTTCTATGTAAAACGAGACAGGAGAAAATTATTAATTATTTAAGAGATTGGTAAACTTATGACATGATCAAGCAGCTGCTCTGTAGGCAACACTGTATTTTGCAGTGTGACATAGTAGCCATGATTTTTGTGTCCTATCAACGCCCGAGAAACACCAATGTTGCCTGCTGAGCAGTTGATTGAGCATATCATAAGGCTTCAGCGCATTAAACCATTGATAACTTTCGATCCTTGCATTTAATCAAAAAGTAGTCTTGGGCAAAGTTGTAGCTGGGAAAATTTCCTATAAGTACAGTTGAAAGTTTTTGAAGATGAATAATTAGATAGACATGAACAAAAATATTGGTTTTACCATAGTAATTCCCATACAAACTTCAAATGGTTTGTGCCATCTCAGTTTCTCACCAAATGGGTTCAAATTTTGAGAGGCTAGTCAGGATCCGATTTGGAATCGTTTAAGTATTGTGGAGCGAAAATTTCAAATTTTGCATCACTCTAATGCACATTAGCGCCGTGTAGTGAGAACGTCCGCGAGATATTCCATGTTGGTCTCTATTAGATCAAATCCCAGAGGGTTTTTGATCTAATTTCCGTCCTACTAAACACAACCCTCACTTTACCCCTCTTTTTTGAACGGGTTTGAATAAAAAATGGCATATTTCTGTCAAAGATTACTTCTAAATTTATTCACCTTTTCATACGTACCGTTGGATTTGATAAACAGTCACAATTGTTGAGATCTTGTTTAAAATCTAATACTGTTTCTTGATTCTAAATTCGTTACCAGAGATGTTTATGCCTCAGAAAAGTGGTGTCAGCTGGTGATTGACTCCGAATAGTCACCAGATGGTCCACCGGAACATCCGGAACATCCGCAAAATATGTTGCTTCGTAATTTTCATCAAAGTAGACTATGATTTTTATCGTAAACTATATTAAATTGCTACATTTAATGGTGAATTTTAATATATTAGCTGGTAATTGGATCTAAGTGGTCATCATATGGCCGCCGAAAGATCCGGAGCATGCGTCAAATTTGTTTTTGTACAAATTTTATCAAGTTAAGTCTTAATTTGTGCAACGAATAGGATCGGATTTTGCAATGGAACGGTTCAGCAGAAGTCGAGAAAAATTCCAACCCGAAGGATGAAGTGAATTCACCGCCTTCAGCTTAGTTAAACCGTAACTCAAGTGACTAGGATATCTACCTAGCAAACAATGTTAGATACAGATTCAAGCATAACCATCATAAGCCAATTTTTTTTCGTGTTATGTGTTCCCCTATCGTTATATCAAATGAAACGTGCACTAACGACAGTAATTGATAATTCTTCCGGTAGGGGCTACCAGGGTTAAATGGGATGAATTTCCTGCTCTCGTAAACAGTTATTGCCTCCGTTTTCCCAGTAACCCCTGCATGTATCAATAGAAATATAATTACCCTCTTTAATTAACTTAGCTTCATTCGATTGACCACTTGATTATGCAAATTACACGCAAACTGATGTCCACAAAAAGAACACACGCAGTAGTCTTAAAGCGGTGTTTCCAGTTCACTGTAAACAACGAGGTCAACATGTTGATGTTTGAATTGTTCTTCCTATTTCTGGCTGTTCCCCTCTCAATGGTAATGTCCAACTTAAACCGAATTCACACTTTAACCCTGTCCCAACTCACAGGCCAAGGACATCACGCTCCAGTCCTTCGATATAGATCCTTCCGGTGATCCGACATTCGTTGACATGGGTACGATGAGGATAAGGAAGAAATCCCGCAATCTGTTGGTCGTCTCCGGATCGTGGGAGCTGTTTCGGAACATCGGTTCCGATGTACTCTTCAGCTGGACCCTGCTGATCAAGAGCCCTCTGACGGGAGATTATCGCAAAAGGATGGGGCAACAACAGGTTTTCTGCGATTTCGTCAACATGGACACGATGATAATGCCAGCCATAAGGAAAGCTTCCAATCTCCCAGAAGCCGGCGATTGTCCCTTTCCGAAGGGGAAGTACACAATTGACAACTATGAAGCCAGGATTCCGGAAGCGCTACCGATGGGGCGAGGTGATTACTTGTTGCGAGTTGCTTACATCAGCGAAGGTCGACAACTGTTGGGAGTCGAGTGGAAGTTTACCGTCGAATGAAGTTCAAATTGCAATTGCAACTGATTTGTGATCAAAGATAAGAGCAATAAATGAGGGAATTGAGAAACAGAGCGTTCGGATTTCGGGTGCAATTATGAATGCACTGAACCGGATTGGTGTTCTCGTTTTGGAAGTCGCATGCCAGCTGCCAATCATTCCGTCGTTAGCAGTAATGAGACTTGCAAGCAGAGTACTAACCTTGTTGGTTTTAATTGCTCCAGTGGCAGGTCAAAATTGGACTAAATATCTGGTAAATTTTCAATCTTTCTTGTTCAGAAGCTCCTCACTGAATCACAATTTTCAGCGAAATTCGATCGAAAGCCATGGCTACCCGGTGGAACTGCACACGGTGGTCACCAAAGATGGATACATTCTGACCATGTCTCGCATTCCATCGCCCCGGAAAACACCCATCCTCATGGTGCATCAGCTGTTCGGCTGTTCCGTAGATTACACCGTGCTAGGTCCGGAGAAATCCCTAGCCTTTCTTGCGCACGACAGTGGATATGACGTATGGATGGGTAATGTCCGGGGGAACATGTTCTCACGAGCCCACATGACCCTCGACACAAAGCAAAGCACCTACTGGAAGTACAGCTATCACGAAATCGGGATCTACGATCTGCCGGCCATGATCGACCACATTCTGTTTGTAACCGGAAAACAGAAGCTTCATTACGTTGGCCATTCGCAAGGTTCGGTGGTGTTCCTGGTGATGGCTTCGATGCTTCCGGTATACAATCTCAAAGTGACCAGCGTTCATCTTTCGGCACCGGTTGCCTTCGTATCCAATACGGCTATACCCATTCGAGGATTCAGCGAACAGGTTACGACTTCAGTGCTGTTGATGGAAGCTTTTGGCATCTACGATGTCGGTGGACGTGTCGACAACCTTGTGATTGAATACCTCCGACAAGCTATCAGCTCCAACATAGTTCCCGAAGATATCGTAATATCGATTTTTTTCTACTTCATGGGTGAAGACAGAGAAAGCTTCAACATTTCCTACATGGCATCCATCACGGAATCCTTTCCAGCGGGAGGATCCATCAGACAGTTTACCCATTTCATCCAAGCATTTCATTCGGGACGATTTGCGCAATACGATTACGGGAGAGCTGAAAATCTGAAGCGTTATGGATCGTCCACCCCCCCTTCCTACGCTCTGGACCGGATAACAGCTCCCGTAGCACTGTACTTCGGTGCAAACGATCTGTTTTTGACGCTGAAAGATGCAAATCGCTTGGCTGATAGTCTTCCGAATGTGGTGCTGAAGCATTTGCATCCGAATGCCAAGTGGAATCACATTGACTTTATCTACAGCATTTACGCCCACCGGGTGTACCGTCGGGTGCTGGATTTGATTCACTACTTCGAGCATCGCTAAGGTGCTAACGAGGAAGGTCGCTATGTCAACCGGGTCCCGGTGGGTGGAAAACACACCTCCGACGACATTGATGATGACGACGACGGTTATTAGTAGTAATAAAGAGAAATCCATTTGTAATGCAAATCTATTACCGGTGTGTGTCTGCCCACGTATGACTTTTCATTCTTTGACGTTGGGGTGAACTAGGCCGATTGGAGAGGTTCTTGATGAATGGGAGTTTCAGTGGGATCTTTTTAATCGTAATGGTTTTTTGCATGCTTATTCCGAATACAAATTTAAAGTAAGTCAGTCAAAAGCTTCTGTTGGGATCGCGTAATTGAGACTTCAAAAATGATAATTTAAACCAGTGCACAGTGGGGGCTAAATCCCACTTAATTAGACGGCGCACGGTAAGTGCCCTGCGAAATAGCCTATCTTATGTGAAAAATAAATGAGGGATACAATTGGTGATCGTCCCGTTTAAGGTTAACTTTGAGAAATGATCCGTTTTGCCCGATTTACCCCTAATGTTGGAAGAAAAATCATCATCATTATTATAATCCAGAGACTGAATTTGCTGCGCTTAAATGGAGCCAATGTGAACTTAGACATTGTAAAAAGAGCTAAGGAGTTGAATGGAGCTAGTTTTATTTTGATCAGACGTCAATAAGTGGCCAATTTTACCCGATGTACCCTTGGCCTATAAAAACAAGATCAAATACACGGAAAGCAGAATTTGACGGACAAAATATTAAACTTTATGCACTTAACTATTGTACAATTATCCAAAGAATCAAATGGTGCAAAGTTTGCCATGTGGCGACCCCTGTAAAACCCCATTTCTCCCTATACTCCTCTCATGCATAATCAAACACATGGCTTCATTAATATGACACGCACTTGCACTGTACTTATGTAAAAATGTCCAGAGGATCGAATGGTGATGGTCCCTTCTTGGTCAGACTTCAGGAAATGGTCTATTTTTCCTGATCCCCCTCTCAAATTAAAAAAAAACCTATATAAATCAAGTGGAAATTTGAAATGGTATAAACCTATATGCACTTAACTATTATAGAATTATCCAAGTAGACGGTGCAAACACTGAAAATAAATAGCCAGTAGGTCTGACAAGAAATCTATGTTCATTGTCATAAACAGTAAAAATAACGTCAACCATTAGTAATGGCAGAATTTATTGTTAGTAATTCAACGGTAATGCATTTGACTGAAAGTTACAGTTTTCATGGTTGTGCCAACTACGCACAGTGGCACATCAGTCAAATTGCCATGGTATATCTGTCGCATTGAATTTGTCATGGCATATCTGGGATGAACAACACAACAAACATAATTTAAATTGCGCAGTCAATTGTACTATGTATATTACAATACGCATGATATAAATGACAGCATAATACAATTTACAGTTTGTAACAAATATCACGAAGTGGGACCAATTACTATAAAACTGTAACTACAATTATTGTTATGCGAAGCTAGTTATATTTTTACTTAAATAATGTAGGTGCATCGCGTTAAATTTAACATCTCATATGTTCGGTACTACTATCATACCGTTTTAGTGAAGGAAAGAATAACTTCCAAACTCCAACAAGAATGCTGGCAACCATGCGCATCGAAAAAAAAATCTTGTTGTCCCACAGAAATGTATTGCTGAGAAGAGTTTATACTTCACTTTGCGGTTATTGAAAATAATTTCTTTAGATAAAATTGCTATGTGCGGGGAAACATTGCAGCATGCTATACTTTACCAAGAGCAGAATGTGTCCCGTTGCCTCAACTTGAGCAGTACAGTCGACCTTTTTTCTCTCGCTCTCTTTGTTCGTTCGATTGCGTTGTTCCGTTTTTCCTCGCGTTGAATAGAGACGCACTCGCTGACCCAGCCATTGGTAAAAAAACGGCGTGGTGGCGCGAGTGCCGGCAATCCCGGGAAACGGTCTAGGCCTTAAGACAACAGTGACAGTGCGACAGCTGTGAAGAAGCTGCTGGACAAAAATCGGTTCTCCGTTCTGAAGGACGGTGCAGAGCCGGTGACGGAAACAACAGGACCGCCGAAGAAGGACAGAATGCCGTCCTCCTACGTAAAGGGCTTCCCTCTCGGACTGCGGGAAAAATAAACCTCTATATCCCGCAGGGTATCCGGTGCACTATCTCCAGCTGTGCACGGAAGGATACAAACTGATGGCTCCGGCGTTGAAATATTACAAGGCGGAACAGACCATACTGCACCAAGCACAGGTGGAGTACTTCTCCCATGACATCTAGGCTGTTAAGCCGTTCAAGGTGGTCCTGCGAGGATTATGCGAGGATTCTTCGAAGAGCTGGTGGCTAATGGACTGAAGCCGGCCCAAATTCGCAAGATGGCCCGCCACAACAAGGTCGTCAAGTACCGCGACCAGCTATACTTGGTTCACCTTGAGAAGAACTCAACAACTTTGTTGGACTCCAGGGCATCCACGTCCTGTTTAACATAGTGGTGAAGTGGCAGCGGTGGTCAGTCGTGGAGTCACCCAATGCTCAAACTACCTGCTGTTCGGGCATGGAACGAAGAATTGCCATATCAGCCGCTGCATCAAGTGTGGCAAACAACACAAAACCTACGCCTGCGACAGACTCGATAAAACCGATCCCATTTGCGCCAACTGCGATGCTGCTCTTAAAGCTACGATCAAGACCTGCCCGAAGCGCGCCGAGTACATCGATATCCGGAAGAAAGCATCGACAAGAAACCAGCCCGGCCACAAGAAGGTGTCAGAAATGAATGATCAGAACTTTCCACCGGTTCCACGACGACCGATTCCAGTGCTGCCACCGCCGTCACTCAATCAACGATTGGCTGCTGCTCATACCGCTGCTACTGCTGCTCAAGGTCAAACTACCGGAGCCCCTGCAAATTCAGGTTAACAGACGACTGCTGCTCCACAGCCTCATGGGCTAAACTGGCGTCAAGATGGACCCTTCCTACCGCAGCCCGAAATCAACGATGGTTCTTGGTTCACCGCAGCGGAACTAATGATAATCTTCCTCGAGATGCTCGACATTGCCAACACCATCAAGAACAAATCCGACCAGCTCCAAGCTGTGACTACCTTAATGCTCAGTTATGGACCGTGAGCTCATCAAAATCGCAAACTGGAACGCTTGCTCACTCAAGAGCAAAATTATCGAGTTCGGTGACTTCCTCAACGAACATAGCATCGACTTCGCTACCAGGAAAAACATCTGCTGCCGGCTGCTACCCAGTTTTCAGCTGAAAATGATTGAAGCATTTTGAGTGGAAGTATCCACACCCGTCGGCCCCGTCCCCATCATTGCAGCTTATTGCCCGAAACAAGCCAACGCCAGGGATATTATCAAGATAACACGACGCCGTGGAAAGTTCATCATCGCTGGTGACCTGAACGCCAAGCATCAAGCTTGGGGCAACCAAAGGCGGAATCAGAACGGCATCATCCTAAACGACGACCTGCAAGAGACCCAGTGCACCATCCTGGTGCCGAACGCTCCCACCCGGTTGAGCCGGTTCAGCGTGCACTCCATCATCGACATCTTCGTCAGCAACATGGAGAACATCTCCCAGCCGGTCGCCCACCAAGAGTTAAGCTCGGACCAATTTCTGGTGGGGGCCGCGGTGGGCTCCTCCGTTAATCGATTTCATGTTTCCCGTTGGAATTACCATCGGGTAATTTGGGATCGGTGCCAACAAGTCGTCGACGAAACCATCAATTTTGGCGCCCTACTGGAGACGACAGATGACATCGATAGATCTCTGTGCGCCGTCGAGGAGGTGGTATCTCGAGCCCGTGAACAAAACGTGTCAGCTTCCAGGCGGGTGAATTATTCTCTGAACCTTGATCAGAATACTAAAAGCCTAATCAGACTCTGTAACGCCATGCGTAAGCAGTACCAGAGAACTGGACTGCCTTCCTTGAAGATCCATTCCAACCGTCTAACCAAACTTATCAAAGCCCAAATGGTATAACTCAGAAATGAGAATTTTGTCAATAACATCTGTTCCCTCCCAGATTGTGCAAAATCTTTTTGGAAACTAACTAAGTCCTCAAAACTAAACCGAGGCCTGTTCAACCGCTGGTTCAACTGAATTGTCCCGACGGTTCAGTGGTTCACCTGAAAAGAGAAGGCTGCCACGATAGGTCAACATTTCGTCAGCTCCCTCATGAAGCTGAGGTTGCTGAAAATGTAACCAATATTCACCAGGTCACGTTTAAGTATGCAAATGTCTTCTACTGATTACTCTGGATTCATCACTCTAATTATATTTGTCTCAGTATTCCCATTCAGCAAATATTTGAAAAAAAGAATATTAAAATCTCTTTGAAAAACCCCTCTCTTAAGAAAAAAAAAATCAATCAGATAATTTAGAAAGAATATCGGCTCCGCAAAGCTACGGCAAATGAGCCTGGAAAAATAAACGCATTAAAAAAATAATGGTTGTGTGTTTTAATTTGCAAGTTTATTTAGCACAATTAATCATTTTGTACGACCATTATCCACAGAGATGGCGCTGTTCCGCTGGTAGGAAGTGATAAAAATCCCCATATAAAAATTGAGAGAAGTGGGAATACTTCGGTGCATATTCAGATAAAAAAAGTGAACGACAACCTAAAGAAATGAATCAGTCCCCAGAGAGCCAAAAAAATTCAAATTTGAGAGAGAAATTCTCTCTCACGACCTCAATTTCTTAAAATGCCATGTATTTTGTTGACACTCGATTTGTGATTTCCCTTTCACTGATTACAAAATAGAGTAACTGAAACTACAAAACATGTATGGTACCTCTATATATGCATTTGCTTTAACATTTGAAGTCCCTCCTTTTTTACATATTCTGCGCAAAAGATACTTTATGCCCCGCCCCATACATATTATTCGGTGGGAAATTCTGTGAGGAGTGAGCTATTTTGTGTGCAGAATGTGTAAAAAAGGAGGGACTTCGAAGAATAATCTAAATGCATATCTAGAGGTACCAGACATGT